GAATGGCGGTAAGATCATCTCTCTACGATTAATATTGGCGAAGTTATGATACAATAAAGTTTTAAGTATAATTCTGGCTAAAATTATGTTAATTTTTGGCCGGAATTATGATATACAAATATAAGAAATTTTTTATATAGTCACATTTTTTTATAATTACCAAATATGGACTGTCCCAAATGTGTGACTATAAAGAGAGTTGACTGTATCATTATGCATTTCTTTAGAATTTTTATCAGATTAGATATATAGCCAGAGAATTTCAATTATACTATAATCTTCCTTTTATTTTTTCACAATTTTTGAATGGTGTTGAAAATTATTAATTTTATGCAGTATTTATTTTAAGTTTTTTTGTTAAAAATCTTATAGGAATAAGCCAAGAGATCCCTTTTATAGATACCGTGCATAAAATGGGTATTAAGTTTCTGCTGAAAGCAAATTGGTTTGCTAAATTTTTAAAGCAAAAAAATGACTATCAAAATGGATTTTTTGCAAATAGTATGATTTTTTTATTATTTAAATCTTTATTTTAATGGTATTTTTGGCCAAATAAGTGGCCATAATTTTAATTATAATGAATGTAAGTAACTATTTTTACAAAATTTTACTTTAGTTCAATTGAATATTTACGCACAAAAAACTATTTTAAATAATTTATTAGGAAAAACCAACATTTTGCAGCTAAAATTCATTGATCATCTAACTTTTGATTTATATATTATACAGACCTTTAATTTTGTATGTGATCAAGATTAGTATTGATTTTTAACCCTGGAAATTTTTAGGATAGGTTATCACATGACTTCGGAAAATATAGGGGTAAAGAAACTTATGACCAGGCCTGTAGGCGATCATTAAAAATCTTTGTCAGAATTTTTCTTGCTACTTCCAGCAGAACAATAGAACGTGTATATTTGATATCGTTATCCCACCATTGCGGTTTGAGAATTAGATATAAAAGGGCTTTTTGCCAGCTATCGGGAATGACGCCTTGTTCAATAATGAAGTTATATAAGTAAACCAATTCATCAAGAAATCGCGATAAAAGTTTTTTAAAGATTTTATAGGTAAGTTTGGATATGCCTGGTGCCTTGTTATTGGGAAGTGTTTTAAGAATATCGATCAATTCCTCTTTATTTATGGGATTACATAAAGTATCAAGCGCCTCTTGAGGAATATTTGGTCTTTGTAAGTAAATTCTATTCCAATAAGGATTAAAGCCTATGTTTTCATCAAATTTGTTTTTACTTGTGTCTTTTAATCCTATATTTTGAAAATGTGAATTTGTGATATTAGCTATAATGTTCCGATCATTCGAAAATTTAATTTCATTATCCTCTGAATATTTGATGCGATCAAGAGTAATTTTGCGAGGTTGCCTTTCCAATATTGAGTTTAGCATTCTTTTATTATTATGTTTGATGTCATCATCGCGTCGATTGATGAATTTTGTGATTTATTCTGTATCCCATTTAGAACGTTTTTGATCAAGTTGCGTTTTAATATGCGATGTAAGGAATTTGATGGTATCCAGGACTTCAACAAATGTTTCATTGCTATTAATAGTGGTGGGTAGTATAGGTAATGATTTAATATCATTAATACGTAATAATTTTTGTAACCATTTCTTTTTCTTCTTCCAATACTTATAAAACACCTCATGTATATCATTGAGTGCGATGAAGTCTTTGTCGTTATTATTAAGCTCCATATTAAAACGTTCATATAACTGCTGATCCTTCATGATCGATTCATTATCTTTAAAGAAAATTTTTATTGAATCCAACTGGTAAAGCTAGTTATATAATATTCTTATGTGTAGAGGTAAATTCGAGCATTTTGGTGAAGAGTGTTTATATTTTTTAGCCTTAGCTTTATCTAATGCTAATTTGATATTTCTATTAATTTGATTCATTCGTTAATTAATAAAAATGTTAGGTGTTAGAGAATTGTTGTCCAAATAACTTAGGTTATTCTTGATGTGTTAAAAAGTTTTGAAAACATGCCTATTGGTCTTTGTCCATATCATTTGTGTTGTATTGGAATTCATAATTTGAAGAGTCACGTGATATTGAGAAGGACTTGTAGCTTTTAAAACCATCGTTAGGATGATCTATAGATATTTTAACTAGTGTTCCAAAAAAAATCCGATCTGATCTGGATCCGCAGATTTGATCCAAGTCAGATCCAGTTCAGTTTTCAAAATTCTGATCTGTAGATCAGATCAGATTTTAAAAAATCTTATCTGATCAATTTCAGATCGGATCAGATCATAACACAAAAAAATCTGATCCGATCTGAATAGATTCGGATCAGATTTTTTTTTAAATAAAAAAAAAAATTTTTTTTTTTTAATTTACTTTTCCTGGATGAACGGACGAAGCCGGACGACTAAGATTTAAAAGAATGAACTAGGTAAGTTCGTTTCTTTTTTTTTGTTTTTTTTACTTGAGAGAACGTAATTAACGGTTCCTTTCTTTTTTAGTAGGAAGCCTGGACGAACGAAACCTAACGACACGACCAGAATTTAAAAAAAATGAATGAACTATGGTAAGTTCGTTCCTTTTTTTTATTTTTTTTTATTTATTTTTTATTTAAGGGAATGTAATTAACGTTCCCTTTCTTTTTTTTAGAAAACCTGGATGTGAGACGAAGGAATGACCAGGATTTAAAAAAAAGAACGAACTATGGTAAGTTCGTTTCTTTTATTTTTATTTTATTTTTTTTTACTTAAGGGAATGTAATTAATGTTCCCTTTCTTTTTTTTTTAGGAAACCTGGACG